TCTTCAGGATCATCCCGAATTTTCCCCACATGCAGCAAGAGAAATATTTTCAGTTCCTTTCAGTCCTATTATGCATTTGTTTAGTAAAATGACCGAAGGGGGTGTGCTGTGTGGGAAAGCTTTGAAATGTTTTTATCCTTGTGTAGGGAACTGCTACATCTTATAAGTAATAAAAGTGAAGCTACTGGAGAAAATGGCCATCCCAAACATATAGCTAGAAATGTTGAAGTTTTGCTCTTATTCTCCAAAATGCAGTAATTCCTTCTGATGTAATTAGTGTTCAAGGAGAGCGACTGACTTGAGAGAGAGAGAGAGAGAAGTTGAGCTTGGTTTGTGAAATTTCAGCTGCTGCTAACCCTTCTTAGATAGCTTCTCAGACAGTTGGAGAGAGAGACAATCAAAACTGAGTTACAGTTCTGTAGGATGTGGCACTTTTGAATGGTGAATTTGTGCCACTGTTCTTGAATGGTAAGGAAAGAGTCAAACAGACTAATAATGAAACATCCAAACCATAGGAACACACATCTGGCACAGTTTTGTGCTTTATGTTCAGGGAGAGCCTCTGCTTTTCTAATTTTTTTAATTAATGCAAACTTCCTCTTTTCTGCTAAGTCAGTCTTTAAAACTGTCCAAATTGTCAATTTTAAAAAAAAAAAACAACAAACAACCTTTCAGTGTCTCCTAAGTTGGGAACAGTATTATTATTGTGATTTCAGATTGCTATCTTTGTTCTGTGCCTGAAGCTGAATGAATTTTGCTCTTCATTTCTGTTTTTGGAAATGTTGCTTTTCTGCAGGATGCAGAGATCACATGTCTCTGTGCATAAGATGCTAGACTTGATTTGTAATGGAAAGACAAGCTTGTCTCAGGCACAGGAAGCATTTTGTTTTGAAGGTTAAAGCATTGTTCGAAACCAATGGCTAAACACAGTTTTTCACAGTTGACATTCCTTCCTCTCTCCCTATTAAGAACACGGGAGAGGTAAGAGGATATGTATAACCCATTTGATGTAGTCTTTCCTTCCTAAAGAGAGAGCATCTATCCAAATTTGAGGAATGTTGTTCAGGTGCTGCCTCTGAGTTCTTAATTGCAGAAGTTTGCTGCAGATTAGGCGACTTGTCCTTTCTGGTAGCAATGAAAACAGACTTACTGGAATCTTTAAACATTACTGAATAGTTCAGAAGTATTAGCACAGCTGGGATTCTGTTTTGTAAAAGCACAAAATACAGTGAGGAAAAGTCATGCTTTTATACACAGAAACAAGCTGCGTGTTTTTGTAAAAGGCTTAATGTGCTCTCTGGATTTCAGAGGCACCTTTTGCAATATAAAAATTAAAGAAAACATTGACATAACCAGAAAGCATTCAGAACTTATCAGCAAAAGTTTAGCAGCCTCTGTATTTCTGGTACACAAAGCACTTGTCCCAGACCAACTTCAATTCCAAGAAACTGTAGAAGTGAGAGTGGGGAAAAATAATGTATATGGTTATTGAAACTGCTGTGAAGGTCTGAGATGAAACCCTAATGCTAACCCTCTTAGCCTTGTGTTTGTGGGTACAGGCTTGAAAAGATATGGACCGTTTCTGGAGATGACAATAAATAACCAAGGACAATCACCAGCGTGCTTGAAAAACAGGGCATTAAGGGGAGTTTAGACTTCACCCTGTACAGCATAATAATTGTATCAACAAAACTCTTGGAGACAAACAGAAAATGTTCAAAGAGTGTCTGTGGTAGTGTCTGTGATTGTATGAAGAGCATCTTGTGCTGCCAAGGTGGTAAAGGGATGGGAGCATCTCTCCTGCGAGGAGAGACTGAGAGCTGGGACTGCTCAGACTGAAGAACAGGAGGCTGAGGGGGATCTCATCAGTGCATACAAATACGTGCAGGGAGGGTGCGAAGAGGACGGAGCCTTGCTGTTTTCGGTGGTGCCCAGTACAAGGCTCAGTGGGCACGAAGTGGAATACAGAAGGCAGCATCTGGACATCGGGAAGCGTGTCTGCACTGCGAGGATGACAGAGCACTGGCACAGACTGCCCAGAGGCTTGAGGTGTCCTCCTAGGAGAGCTCCAAAAGCCATCTGGACGTGGCCTGGGCACCCTGCTCTCGGCATCCCTGCTGGAGCACAGGTTGGACAGATGGACACAGAGGTGTGTGCCAACCTCAGGCGTTCTGTGAAATGCGTGAGAACGAGAACGAGGGCAACCTGACGATGAACTAAGAAAAGGGGAAAGAGCAGGAAAGTGGAAGTCTCCTGCTTAGATACGTAGCTGCTAACAAACTGCTTCAGTTGTGTGATGAAGGAAGATCAGTGGTGTTCTGAACAAACTTGGGCTGTGGTGTATTCGAGAAACTGCTGTCCTTGTATTTAAAATTAACCTGGTGAGGTTGTAGGAGAAACTGCTACCTAGCAAAGTGAGCAGATTTAAGTTGTAGCTGACTGCTAACTGGCTTCCCTCTTTAGAAACAGAATTTAAGATCTCAGGGGGGACTTCTAGGATAATTGTGTGTTCAGTACAAGGCTATAACATTTAGCTTGTGGTGTGTAACTGTTATATGCAGCCCTGTGTGAAGTGTAATGTGTTGTGGAGTGTTACAAAGTAGCTTACTCCTGTGTTCATCCTTAGTGTTACCAAATTGGCAATTTGTTTTTCGTTTCAGTAACTGTTGGTAAATCTAAAGAAACAAATCAAGAACCTGACAGATAGAAGTGACCCCATTTTATGCCAAGGAGGACTTCAGGATTCTATACAGCATTAGATACCTACAGATTTTTAATTATTTTCCTGAACTACTCAGTCTGCAGGTACATAGAAGTCTGCCTTGAATACCTTAAATATTCCTCTGCTTCTTTTTAAGCATGCCTGGCCATATATTTGGTGTGTAGATAGAAGAACATCCAGCAGCATAGAAAGAAGGTTAGTGTCTGTCAGTTGCCTCAGTGAATTTCAAGTAGACCCACTTGTGTTTAGAATAGAAAAAAAAAAAAAAAAAAAAATCTTTTGCTTACTGATATCTACTGTAAGGCTGCAAGTTATTCAAGATTTTGGCTGGTCTGGCAAAACATCAGAATAAAATTTAGAGCTCTGAGCAATGATTTATCTAAGTGTAGATGTGAACTCTTAGTGTTTGTTGGAAAGCAGCTAAATTGACATCACCAATGTAGCAAAATAAATGTATGTTCCTGGAATAATTCATGGTTTACACCGAGCAAAATACTAAATTGCTTCATTAGAGAAGCAGTTTGGGCAAATCACGGACAAGTTGTATTTTAGTTTAGTAATGCTCAGATGGCTCACAATGGGTGAGAATGGCAATTAAAGTGGAACTTTGTCTCCATGTCCATCGGCAAGACACCTATGTGCAACTCAAAATGTATGCTGTGCTAGTAAGTCCTCCAATAGGTGTCCTCCACCAGGTGCATTTTTACCAGCTGAACTCACTCTGGCTTACAGCTGCTCAGCCCTCATCAGTGGTCTAAACTATGCCTGTAAAGAGGGGCTTGTGTGTATAACATAGTGTGTTTTCATCTTAGCTGGCTTGTTATTTTGTGTAAAACCTTACCTAAATTAAATTGTTACGTGAGTTCCCTACAGTTTGTCAGCCCTCATTGTGTTGTCAGGGGACACCTTTAGCACATTGTCTCTTGGTGATTTATTTTTTTTAAGTTGAGCAAATCTATGACCTGTTCATGGTTTATAGATGAACTCGGGTGTTTTCTTCATAGCCCACTGAAGGGAAGCCTTTACATAAAATGGTTTAACATTGGACGCCTGCTATTCTGTCTCAAAAATGTGTTCTCAAGTGGTACTATTTAAAAGAAAATGTCAAATTTGAGTAGTGTACAAAAACAGCTTTGCACATCTCCCTCCTGTACACATAGTGCTCTTTCAAAGAACTTAGTAGCCATTTTGTGGAAAGTTTTGATTGTGTATATTGTGTCTAATGCATTGAAACATGTGCATCTGTTTTCACCTGTTCAGAATATGATGGAAGGAGAAGAGGAATATACACATTCGTTTTTGCAGCAGGGAACTTCTGATAAATTCTGATGCAATGATCTGTGAAATGATCTCAGGAATTGATGCTGAGTGCTATTTTAACAAGCACTGCACCTTTTTCTTCTGGTGTGTGTCAGAAGGTTCAGTGAAGGGAGAAAAACTCAGTTACAGCAATGTACACAAGATGAGCTACAGGGGTGTCATAGTCCTGAAAACATTTACACTTTTTATGAATAACTGGCATTAAGAACACCTACAATGTTTGTGCTACCATGCAAGCGTTTTAAAGAATATTCATACTAGTCTACATAAACAACTAAACTGCAATCAATTAACTTTAGGTAAGAGCAACAATGCAGACAAACCGCAGAGGAAATAAAGTGCCATTAGTGCTTCAGTCTCCCTGATCTGAGTGGATAAATTGACAGGCAGTTGTTATAACTGTGCTATGTCTTTGTTCTGTTTCCAGTTACACCACTGTCCTCCCTCAGGAATCCCTCAAACGTGTTTTCTCTCTCTCTCTCTCTCTCACTTTCTCTCTCTCTCTCTTTTCTTTTTCAATTTTAATTTATTATTTTTTAATTTTGAACTGCATGAGAGCAGTGAGAGTAAATTAAAATTCTTCTATGTCTCTGCACTTGTCTGAGTCAGCAGTATACAATCTAGGTCATGTGTTCCCAAACAGCTCTGATGCAGAATATTTTCTTTCCTTCTATGGCAACTAAGTAGTTTCATTAAGGTACAGTCATCTTGTCTTCTTTCCTCCTCTGTGTGCCTTCACGAGGCCTGGGTAAAACATGTCTGAAAATCTCTACAGTTCTTTTTATTAAACCCAGATGAGCCTCCTCTGAGCTGACGTCATCTTCATTACATAATCAACTGACAATTAGAGGTGATATGTTGTCTCTAAGATGCAACAAATCACAGTAGAATTAATGATTCTTTATTGCATGAAATTACAAATTAGACAAACATCAGTTTTAACTTTTTTCTTTTTTAGGATGGCTGAAGCTCCTCCAAGTTACTGTTTTGTAGCCTTTCCCCCATGTTCCAAAGATGGGCTGGTGGTGTTTGGAAAGAACTCTGCACGGCCTAGGGATGAAGTACAGGAGGTGGTCTACTTTGCTGCTGCAACTCATGATCCAGGAAGTAAAGTTGAGGTAAGGGTGAACCATTACTTTTCAGCAATGAGAAATGAGGATTATTAAAATAAATGAATGATGCTTGTTTTCTTGTCAGATCATGAAATCCTTGTTCCCTTCATTCAAACCTCTCTTGAGTAGGGGAATATGACATTTCTGAAAGTTCTAGAAGTGAAATTTGGAATGTAATATTTTTGTTGTTATTGTTTAATTGAGGAAATTTCCATGAGCTGCGCTTTTTCCAGCAGACAGGCTGACTTGTTCACATCTCAGGAAACTGCACTATGTAGCCTACATGAGAGGAGGTTTAGAAAGGGGAGAACAAACTGGAAAGGAGGAGGAGCAAGTGTGTAGTGAAGGTGAAATGAAGAAACTGAGGTAGCAGAAGGAAAGACAAGGATTAGTGGGGGTGGTCATTTCAGCACCTGCATCCATCTCTGGCTGTGCAGAAAGCAGAAGACACTTAGGTGGGATGCACGAGGAGTGTATCACCAATCCCTAAGGATCATTTATGGATATCAGTTGATACTTCCCCAGAAGAGATCCTAATACTAGTGCCAGTTTTATTCTGTCCTTGAAGTGGGACCACTTCCAAATTTTAGAGACTGTGGTGCTGTTTGTCTTTGCAGCAGTTAATGTTCTCCTGATTTGTTTCACTACTCACATGTAATGGTTTAATCTTGGATGTAAAGTAATCCCATCCCCCTTCTGAAAAGCACAAACTGCTGCTTACTGCAGTGCTGAGTAAGTCGCACTGCAGTAGACCTGTGCTAGTAACAGAACACAAGTGTGACAATAAGACAGGAAGAAAACTGCAAAGTAGTTTTTTAGACAGCTTCTCATCACCAAACTGAAGATGAAAAAAACTGTTTATGTGGAGGAAAAAAAAATTTAAGCCTTTGTCTCCTCAAAGGAGAATAATTCTAAGAGCTTAAAGAGTTAGAGTATTTGTTTATTTTGGAGTCTTTTCCCTATATCTTGTCCTTCTCCTTAAATCATGGAAACCTTTTTTTTTTTAATGGAGGTAAAGTTTGTTGCAGTGTGGTGCAGGTGCAGCATTAGACGAGAGACTGAAGTGGACAAATACCTTAATTGTGTGTAGTTTTACTTTTCTGAAGTTTGGGCTTAAGCCCTAAGTAGGTGGTTACTTTGGCCTCTGCTAGACTATGCTATTGTATAATTCTACATTACCTTAAGAGTACTGTGATTTACAAAATGTGTGGGCTCCAGCTGCTTGCCTAAATTCTTCCCATTTCCTCTTAGCAGAGAATAAAAACATGTTCAGTTGCTCTGGGATTGACGTCAAGTGACTGCTTGCACTGCATCTTTATCACACTCAGCACTAAGTATTGTTAATGAGTGGGACTTTTTGCTGTTTAAACTAATGAGTGTTAGAGTTTAAAACAGTTACTGGCTTTAATTATTTTATGAGGTCTGAAGATTCTCTGGTGGCTTTGCAGACTCCTTTAGCTGCTTTCTTTCAGACAGACCTAAGCACGTATTTACTTGCCAGTTTGAGATGTTTTTCCTGCTTTCATAGACAAGTAATGTTTATTTTCATGGAAACTACAACAGATAGAGCACAATAACGCTGTTTGATTGAGCAAATTGTCAGCTACAAAATGCTATTTTTCAACATAGACACCACCAATAGCTGTGTGTTTCTCCAGCAATGAACAAGGGCCTGCATACAGCACTTAAACATCTGTGTAGCCGTCTGGAACATGACCTGTCTTTCGTGCTGCTGTTGCCACTGCTGAAACGCAGCGCCCATCACCTCACTGTGCTCACATTCTCTGCCTTCATAAATGTTCAGTGTCTCCAGCGAATGTCAAGGGGTGCAATTTTTTTCTGTATGGAGGAATTCAGTGACATCCCTTTGCTTCATACATGCTTCTGTGCCAGCCGCACAGTTCAATCCCTACTGCCACACCACCAACATCTGCCTCTGATGTTGTGGGCTGACATGATGAAACAGGAGGCATTGCTTTTTGGAGCAGCCCTTGTATATTAAGTTCAGTCAAATGAATGAGTCTAGCAAATATCGATGTTGGAGAGTGATTCTCTTTAGATTTTGCTGTTTTTGTAAACTAGTCACTTCAAAGGTCTTCCAAAAAGCCTTATAGTAATTAATTTGGTAGGAATTGTGACTGACTGAGTGGATTAATGAAAGCTCTACAAAAAGAGTTTCAGGCTGCTAGGTTTGATTCTAGGTTTTGCTGTTGTATAAACTAAAGGAATATGATTAATAAGAAGATTGCAATTTTAAGCATGCTAGCTCTTCATGACATCAGAAGAAGAATATGATCTTCAGTTTTTGCTAATTAGCCAAAATGTATGTGGTGTTCTCCTAATGCAGAAACATGTCTAATGCTCTGCTCATCTCAGGATAAATGCATACTTACCTATATGCAGAATTTGTGCAAAACTCATTAATTTCCTGTGTACTGTTAATTGGATCCTTACAAGTTAAGAAAAGCTTTGGAGGCCTTGAATTCAGTTGCTTCATATTTTTAAACTAGCAGCTATGTGAGACTCTGTCTACCTTCCAAGAAAATTTATTGAGCTGTCAGAGATAATAAGCTAATATGGGGAGTATAGAGGAATTTCAAAGCTTCTAGATGTGTCCTTTGACATCACTTTTACCTTTTTCTTTAAAATGTTCATTTTCTGGGGTTTTGCTTTGGGTTGCTATAGATTCTCTTTTGTCCTATAAAATTAACTGAACGGGTATGAGAGTGTTAAATGCAGGTTTTACAAAATGAAAAGTGTGATTAACCTGTTTTATGCTACTGTTTCTCCTAAGCCAATAATCCTTTGTGCCTCTGACTAATACTTCTCTCTCATCCATAGATTTTTTTTTTTCCCAGATGAATAGTTGTACCTTTTTATTGGCTTCTTATGCTAGATACACATCCTTTATTGTCACTGGGCAAGGATGATGGGCTTGCTTTTTGTTATGTTCTACTCTTTACATGTAGTATACTCCAATGCCTAACCCATTTTGAATACTTTTCCATAACTCTGTCACTCTTTTTTTACAAACTTTTACAAGGTCAAGACTCTCAAGAACTCTGTGTCCTGTTTGTTCTGTGCTGCTCATTTTTCCAACTGTGATAATGTACAATATAACAAAAAAATGGAATAGTAGTTCAGCTAGATTATTGCTGTAAAGAAATCTAGCAGGCTTTGTTACATAGCTATCAGCCAGTGTGTGAAGCACCTTAAACAAGGGAAGATGGATGCTCAGTGAATACTGCAAGTCATTTTAAGTTAGATGTTTGTGGCACAACCAACCAGACAGTAACCCTGCAGCTAACTCATCAGCATAATTCCTTCCCTCTATGTCAGCAGGTTCCCAAGACCCCGAACAAAGGGGCTTTTCATTATGGTCTATTCTGTGCCTGTGTGTGACAACCTTTCCAAACTTTGTTCACGTTTTGCATTGTTATTTTGCAGTGGCAAATGCTGATCATTGCTTGTTGTAGTGGGCAGTATAGCAAATTTGTGTGCACAGGTTAAAATATTGCTTCCTTAAACATAAATAAGGCCCTTTTTGGAATCCCTGTACTAAAAGTAAGTATTCTATCTTTTCCCAGTCTTGGATTGTCTTGTGCATTAGCGAGAATTTGTGGTGTATGAGTGTTGAGATGCAAAACTGTTTTGTTTTTAGGGCAGATTTTACTGACTAGATTTCTCTTGTTCTCTTGTAACCTGTCACTTTGCTGTGATTTTCTTTCTCCTGAAGAATTCTTGGGCTGATAACTTTTTCTGGAGCTTAGTTTTCTAGATCTTTTTTTTCTCTTTTAGCTCAACCTCCCTTCCTTATAATCTACCCTTTTACCCATGATTTAATGGGTTGCTTGCCTTGCTAGAACACAGAGCAATACAAACTCCTCTGTCTTCATAGCACGCAATATCTTATGAGAGGAACGGAATGAAGAAATTACAAAGAATGGTCCACAATGAAGTCTATCGCATTGTGGAATAAGCACGGTTTTCTAGTAAATTGGTATTATATAGTCTTCTGGGCTTAAAGCCAGCCCTCTGTGGGGTAGGAGGAATTCCATGTTCTCTCAAAGTTTTTGGCACAGTTACGTCTTAGAGATGTGGGGTTCTTTTTGGTGCGCGGTTTTTTGGTTTTGTTTGGGGGGAGTGAGATGCTCCTCTGAGTTGTCAGAGAAGAATAATTTTTTTTACTGTGCATCACTTTGAACACTGCAGACAGAAACTCAGTTGAGGTTAACTGTGGTATCTGGTTTGATGTTAGGAGGTGGATATAAAATTTGGAAAGTAGATTCTGATTATGTTCAAGTTGGCTTTGCATTACATGGATATACACTATGGTTTTTCTAACATAATCATCAGATGTCCTGCCAGTGCTGTAGTTCAGTTCTGATATACTTTGATTCCCTCTTATGCTGTCTGACTGGAAGGTTATCTGGGATATCTGTATTATATCTGGGAGTAACATGTTCAGACATATATGTCTGTCAGATATGTGGTAATATAAACCAAGCAGCAGCTGAATCTACTGAGAACTTGCTTTCCAGGTCAGATTGGCAGTGCAACACTTGCAGTTGTGTCACTGCAGCTGTGAACTTAAACCTGGGCGTCCCAGTGTGATACTTCAGGAGTAAGTGCTGGCCATCAGGAAATCTTCAAGAAACATAGTGATGTCTGTGCCCATGATAAAACTTTTAATTTGCTCTATGGAGATGCAAAAGATTGTAGTCTAAAGGGTTGCAGTTCAGACGCAGTTTAGGAAGCTGTCTTTTCTTGCTTTTTAGCTGAAAGCCAGTGACTGTATAAGCAGCCCATCATGGCATGCAGTCAGACAGCTTAGCTCAACCCACCCTGTTTAAGCTAACCTTTAGACTTCAGAGGGGAAGCACTATGCAGGCAGACAGCAACTGATGAAAGAGAGAAAGCGGTTTCTGCCTTCAGCAGGCTCTGTTGCTTGGCTAATCTAAGCTTTTTCTCATTTCTACTCCATTGCAAGCCACTGGCCTTTAAACTAATGTGTTTGATTTTGCTTTGTAACACCATGCATGAGCCAGCAGTAATTCAGAGTTAGAAGTCAATCTCTTGGATGTTTCTGCTTTTTCAAAGCCTGTGTTTTGACTGTAGGGAAGTGCTGCTGCTTTGCTTCCATTTGCTACAAAGCAAAACTAGTTAGCTCGAGCTATGCATTTGTGTTTGAGGAGCAGAAAAAACTTATATCCTCTTTTGGCTCAGTGTTTACTTGTGGCCAAAAAATATGAGTGTTTCAAAGTGGCCAAACTTAGAAATTAATTTTAAGGTATCTGTGAATTCTAAAAAATCTCTCATGGTTTTTTTGTGACTTTATTGAAATCTTTCTTATCAGTTTTTAAAAATGAACTTAATAAGTTTCATCCTGCTTTCAGTTTTATGTTTGTTTAGAATGCATGAGAGTGCTAGATTTGTAACTCACAAAGCAAGAGATGAATTCTTGATTGCTAAATCACTTCTGATATGTAATGGCACCCAAGGCTGAGAGCGTGCTGGAGATGTGCTGCACTCAGAGGTTTGTTTAACAACTTATGTATTTTATTTTGTTAAGTTCAATTCATAGTGTGGCATAATGCTGGAGGCTCTCTGGTGGCTTGGTGGAATAGGTCAGAGTTCTCCTCTGTATGTAGTTCTCCTCTCCACATGTAGTTCTCCTATCAGAGAACAGTTCATCTTCTTCTAGCTCTCTTGAGCACCCATATACTATCTTCCCAGTCCTCCCCTTCACATGTGTGGGAATGCCCATGGTGCCCACGTCATCTGTGGAATCACCTCCTGCAGCTGTGTTGCGGTGCAGTAGAAGATGCACAAACGAGTTTCTTTTCATAATGAAAGGAGAAGTCTCTTGTGCTTATGACTTCCATATTTGCTTTTGGAATACCTCCAATGTACCTGTATGCTGTAGCTAGGATGGGAGGTGCATTTGTGCTTTGTGCTAAGTTTAGAATTGCCTTGTTAAGACTTTTTTTTTAATATACTGTGAAATAAAGGAAACATTATTAGTTTTCAGCCTGCTCAACTCTTCTCAAAGATGTTGGCTGCATCTCTTGCATGTGGAGTCCCTATTGTTTACTTTGAGATGTGCCATTGGAAATTCAGTGTCACAGCACGTGATGCAGTTGTGCTGCTTTCAGGACTGGAGTTGTAGCAAATCAGCAGAGCCTGACCATTGACTCACCAGCAGCCAGTGCCATCAGCTGTGTCACTAGTCTTGTGGTTATTAGCATTCATGCTGTAAGAAAATTATTAGGGTTTGGAAATCCTGAGGCTGGTTGCTTCAGGAATTTAAGGACAGAATTGGTTGCAGGCAGACTCAGAGCAGTACCTTCTGTCTGTTGGATTTGTCATTGTCCAGTTTGGCACAGCTCTCATTATGACAGGCTGCTATGCCACTGTGCTGGAGGGATTTGCCAGATCAGAAGGGCTCAGGGTGGGGGGATAGGGAGGTTGTGACTAATACTTGTTCTTGAAATCTTGTCTTCACCTGAGCTCCAAGTTCTGGAGATCAAGTAGCTGCTGAGTTTCTGTGCATACTGTTATCCTCTCTTAATACTTTCTTCCATTTGTCAGCTGTTATGAACGCATGTTCTGATTTGTGTGGAATAGAATGGTTTGTTGTACTGCAAATCCAGCAACTAGTTTTAACTGACCTACCTTTATGATTGATGCATTTTGGATTAATGTGGATAACCTGGTTCCTCTGCTTCTTGCACCTTGTTTCTGCCGTGAAGATATTATTTTATCCAGGAAATAGTTTTCTGATGTTATTTTAAGGGGTAATTTGTGTTACAAAGGGTTAAAGTATTTCAGCTTAAAATGAACAACCTATTGTTGTATCTGGACCTAGATGCTCTTGGCCTTCTTGGCCACCTGTGCACACTGCTGGTTCATGTTTTGGCCAAAATTTGACCAATATCCCCAGGTCTATTTCCTCTACACAGTTTTCTGCCCCAAGCTTGTAGTGTTCCCTTGGGTTGCCTTAGATCTGCTAAGATGGTTTATACAAATAAGATGTGAATGTTGTGTACGTGTGTTGATTTTTTTTTTGAAGCTGAAATAACACAGAGGTATAGCCTGTGTTTGCTTGGTGGGGGAGGGAAGGAGGTGGAGAATCAATGTAGAAAGTGTCAGATGTATTTTGTTTGCTGTTTCACATGCTCTCCTCTGCACTTAGCCTACTGCCTTCCTTACAGACTGGAATATTTCTAAAGGAAGGAGGTGCCTGGAGAGGCCCCTGATTACACAGTTACAAAGCAGAGGCACTTTCTCTTTTTTTTAGGATTCTCTGTATCCTTCCAACAGAAGCACACAACTTCCTCTTTCTCCTTCTCTGGCTGCTACTGCTGATAATAAAATCTTCTTAATGAATTGCAACTTTAGAAATGCTTGGTTTTGGGATGAAGCCCAAATTAGTAAGTGTTTGGTGACAGGGATATGCAGTAGATGATGGTTTGCGAAGAAAAAATTGCAGCATTTTTCTCAGTGTATCACTTCTCGCAATGTTCATCATTTTTTTTCTCCTAGAAAATTAAAGCTCCAACGTGTGCAAGGTTGTATAAGAGGCTATTCGGTCAGGGAATGCTCACAAGGATGGACTTACAAAGTACTGACATCTTCTCCGTACTGCCTCAGGTTTTTGCTTTCTCCTTCAGAGTTGAGATGGTTGATATACTGTACAGCTCTGCAGGATGGCTTCAACTTGCTGATGGAGCACCTATGAGATTTAGGGAGCCAGAAATCGCCCTGTGGAGGGGTTGAGGTTTCCCTGTCTGCAGACTGCCTGAAATTTGCTCTTGTCATGTCTGTGTGTGTTGTGTAGGAAGGTGCTTGACCCAGCCCCTTTTCATACTGAAGCAACTCTTTTGCATATATCCAGAAGATGCAGCTGCTCTCTATTCATTCTCACACATATACAAAGTGCTTTTCCAAATAGTGGTGACCTGTAGCTCTGGACAAAACAAAAATTTAAAAAAAAAGAAAAAAAAAAAATTGCACAGCATGCCAAAAAAATATATATTGGTTGGATGGTTCTTAGTTCCAGGCTAATGCCAGATGTTGTTGCACTCCAATAGATTGATTCTGTATCTACTAAATGATAGTCTGTTACTATGTAAGCAATATATATGCCAGCTTGGTCAAATATTAGGGATTTTTCCCTGTCAGAATCATATTGCCTAAACTAGATATCAAAATTAAGCACATGGCTAAAAGAAAAAAATTTTAAATATTCCTGCAAAATGTTACTGATTATTTCCATCAGGGAAAGTGTTGTACCAGGAATGCTAGACATTAAGAGCTGTCTCACAAATATGACAGTTTCAGTTTCCTCAGTCTAAAAATCTGTGGTCCTTGAGGAACTTGATGTGAGCTCAGGAATAAAATATAAAACCCATTTCTTTGGTTTGTCCAAGCCAACGATCTAATGATGGATCAAGCTTTCTTCCATGCTGCTTGGGAAAACAGGGCTTGTTTTTATATTGCAAAACAAGAGAAAAGTAATTATATGTGAAAGATAATGAATGATTTCTTTCTTCTTTGCAGTGTCAATGACTTCTGTACAGCCTTCCTCTGCATCTTTGACTTGTTAGAATGTATCCATGGAACTCAGATTACAGTAAACCATTTAAAATAGCTGAAACATCAATTTAAGCAAAAACAATGCCTGTGCTTTTCTTTCTGTGGCTGTTTATCCCCCGAACACTTTCAAGTCTTGATTTTTCTTTCTATCAGCAGACTTAGACTTGGTGCAGGGAAAGCACTAAGGAAGAGGGGGAAACTTTCAGGGGGAAACTTTCCAATGTGCTTTGTCCAATTATTGTTATTACACCATTTACATAAAATACAGGAGATGGTTTTTAAGTGAGATGAGAGATTGTTTTGATGTTGTTATGCAGAAAACATGAACTGTACTGCTAACACTGAGAAGCAGACCACTTAATTCTGCTTTCTACTGCTTCTAGCACTTGGGTTCTGCATGACTAACTGAAGCCTTCACCTGTTGAAATAGATGTCTTCTCCCAGTCTTCTGTAATATCAAGACATAAAGGTTCAAACCTAACAATATTTTAAAAAAATTCCCCAGCTCATTCTCAAGAGGTGTTTTTTTTTTTTTTTTTTTTCATGATGTGTATCTTGTCTCTACGTTAAATGTTGTGCTGAAGATTGAAGTCTATGTTAGAGTCGGAAGACTAAATCCAGTGCTTGCAGCTGTTTTACATTTTCTCTTCCTATTTTCTCTGCCAATGCAGTGCACATATATTGAGATTGAGCAGGTGCCAAAGACTCATGCTGTTGTGCTGAGCAGGCCTTCCTGGCTTTGGGGAGCAGAAATGGGAGCCAATGAGCATGGAGTCTGTATAGCTAATGAAGCTGTCGTGACCAGAGAACCAGCTTCTGAATCTGAAGCCTTGCTTGGAATGGATCTTGTCAGGTGGGTGGCTTGCTGAGCTGTGAACATCTTTTTAAAGGCCAAACATTTAGTTGATGAGAATGGGTAATGGCTTTAGTGGTGTTGGTGTTAGGAGATTTTAAAACAAAAGGCACCAGAAGCTTTAAAGCACTTGGAATCTGAAGTTGGTTACTGTTTATGTGCTACTTGTGCCTAATACGAGTTTACTGAACCTACCTTGTCTACCTACTATACAGTCTAGTGACTATTTCTTTACGTTGTTAGTTAGGAACTCCTAATTTGTAGCATCAGATTGCTGATGCACCCTTCATTCTCCACTGCTTTAGAACAGCTTACTCTGACCTAAAAAGCTTATCCTGGGCTTGTAGCCAACTGTAGGCATAAACAAACTACTATGCTGCACTTCAGCCCATGCATTCCAACACAAACCATTGCCCTTTTTTTAAATTCTGGCAAACAAAACTCCATGGAAGTCTGTTCATTGAAGGCTGTCTGCCTGGAACACTTGTGCTGCATTGCGTGTCTCAGTCTGCATGCTGATGCTACAGTGAAGAGAATTTAAAGAAGAGTTACGTGGAGGAAGAAAGCTGAAAATGAAAGGACAAGAGAATATGGTGCAAATCCATCACAAAGAAAGGAGAGCGAACATTCAATTTAATTAAAAGATAACACAGGACAGCTGCTAGTTATGTAAGCAAATCAATTTCAGATTGTGATCCAGTGTTCCTGCTGAAATTTTTCCTAGGATACCTAATGAGCAGGCTGAACCAATTTCAAGAGCATACTCATTTTACTTGATCTAATGAAAGATGGGAGAGATTCTGGATAGCTGGAAAAGGTTAAATGTTGTGGTGTATCTAAAAGCATTGAGAAGAGCTGTGGGAATAGACCAACATAACTCAAGGGAGAAAAAGCAATTAAATATCAAGGAGATGACAAATGTTCAGTACTGACTTTTAGTCATGAAGAATCCTGTCAAACGCTTTGTTTGCCCCTGTAATGAGTCAACAAGTTTTAATGCTAAGGATTAGGAAATAGATACTTTGACTTTTACAAGGTCATTAAAACCTTGGAAGGTATTCTCATAAGTACGCTGGGAATCGTAGTCATGGGAAATTGCTGTAAGATGTACAGTGCCTGACACTGTAGATGTTCTGACCCTAATGTCTGTGCAGAAATACAGTATGGGGTTCCAGCTGTCACAGTCAAGAATAATGTGAGCGAGCTGGAGGGCAGACAATGAAAATGGGAAATATGATCTAGAGAATCTGATCAATGGGAAGTTCATGCGGGGATTGGTGTCTCTTTGGTACTTTTTCTAATTCTGGTGTTGCTGAAGGAATCTACAGAGAAGCTGTACATAGGAGGACTTGTGAGTTTGATTGCATTAAGGGAAATAAAATAGACTGGGGAGCTTTTTTAAGAAGAAGTAGGACAAGCTTTTATCAAGATGAGGGATGTGGTAGGTGATTTTCCAAGGTCCACCTTTATTTTACCCCTCCTACTATAATTCTCCAATTTTAATAAACCATTGTTTTAGGTGCACAGTTCTGGTTGGTTTTTTTTTTTTTTTTTTTTTTTTTTTTGTTATTGTTGTTGTTTGAGGTTATTGCATTCTCGAAATACTGTTTAACATTGAAGTATATATGTTATCAGTAGCTCTAGATTTATCAACACTAAAATATTAGGAGATACCAAAATATGGAGAATTGACACAGCCTACCAGTGGTCACCACCTGGAGATATTACTCTCCCTCTCTTCCTTCTTATCTGTAGAGGAAATTGTTTGTAGCTGTAAGGCAGAGAGCATCTGAGGTAAAGAGAAGTAGGGATTTTGCAGTCTACCATCTGTCTCTTGTTCCAGCCAGAGTGGTTCTTTCTTACTGCAAAGACTTGGCTGGTAGCATTAAGCTTAACTGTTTTGGATGATCTCATAGAATAAAGAGAGCCATCAAGTGCAAAATCAATCATATAGGCTGCAATGAAGCAGCTGGCACCAGCTCTTCTTCTTGGTACCCATCTGCAAAAATGGTTATCTGTCACTCAGGATTTATTGGAATGAAAATTAGAGGAGGAATTTTAAGCTCAATTAAGAAATGCACACGTCTGCTAGTCCTCTCCCCTGCCCTTCCCTCTCAATGAAAACCCTATTGGATATCTGTGAAGTTGCACTTCATGGAGTTCTTAGCTTGTTTAGTGCGTGGCTACTGATATAATAGCCAAAAAAATATTTCCTCACATATGGCAGCATAGTAGGTTTAAGACACATCTGCAGATTTTTATCTTGATAGCATATCACAGAGCAGCAGATCAGAACATCAGAATGATTCTTAAGAAGGGGTGGTGTTTGTGCAGTTGATCTGGGGGTTAGAGGTCGGTTGTTAACACAGGCCTATCCCCATCCCAGTTTTATCTAAGTGAAAGACATAATGGTAGTTTTGACAGATGGAAATATTGGGAGAAAATTGATTCCAGCATAACTTCTGAAGAGATAGAGTAAATGAGAATAGAAATTGAAAAGCTTAAGATAATTTTTGATAATCTTATGGTTTTTCAGAATAGCACTGAGGCAGTAGGCTGTACTAAGTCACAGAAAATTTCTTAATGGATAATTCAAGCTGTCCAATCTCAGTGCAAAATTACGTTAAGCTTTTCTCACAATGTCCCTTAACAAGTGCTCTGAAATGTGTTAGTGAGAAGGTTATGCTAAGTTATGCTAGAGTCAGCCAGCAAGTTGATGCCAAGATAAGTGGCAAGACCAATGTTTTTGTAGAGATGTGTGGTTGCTGTGTTGCTTTTTGTTTTTTATTTTCCCTGTCCCTTGCAACTGAAAAATAGGAGCACACAAACAAAAGCAGAGCCTAAGCCTTAGTAAAGTGGAAGTAAATGCAATACTGAAGCTATTTGCCATACAGTGATCTAAAAGAGATTTCTATAGCCTAATCTCTGCTGGAGTTTTTGAAGAGAAAGCTAGACTAACCATCTCAGAGAGAAAATTGCAGGGAGAAGTAAAACGTTTAGTGTGATCTTGTGTCTCTTGCCAGGTTTTGATCTAATTATAACCTAATGCTTTTGATCATAAGACGAGGAGAGGAGAATAGATTATTGTTGAACTGGGTGACTATATGGCCATCAAAGTAGTAGTTATCAATCCATTAATTTACATGGACCAAGGAAAGTTTGTGGAGTTGTTCTTAGAAAATAAGTAAGACTTGCTTTTGGGCTGTTTTTTAGTAGATGATGTATATAGTGTATGCTGACGAGTGAGGAAAAGAATGAAGGAGTAATACAAATGCATAGAGACTGAAAATAGAGACAACAACGCAAAATGAATTTCAGCTAATATGACAAACAAAATGAGAGGGATATAAATATGAAGTCAAAGGATGATAGGGGAGGAATCGTCAGTTTTAAAGCCAGTATCTAAAATTTTAGTAGGATTTCATTTGTCACTAAGTAAAGAGATGAAATTGTTGCTTTCAATAACTGAGACTAAAACAAGGCTAACAGTAGACTATGCACAAATGCCTCTGTCCTGTGTGTAATAAACATCAAAAGATAACATACACTTAGCTTCCATGGCTGATTAAAAATTTGTGCATTCAGGAAGAGAGGTTGCAGGCAGGTAAAACTGATTACAGTCTCTTATCTCCTGTAATAATCACTTCTAATTTTTCCACTGATCTGTACAGAGCAGAGCAAACTTGTATATACCTGTTACTTTAGAAAGGCCACTTAAAATTATTCTTCATTACATTCTGTCTGAGTGGGATAGAGTATTGAAAGGTTACAGGGCTTATAGTGCAGCTAAGGTTGTTGGTTGGTGGTTTGAATTCTTTGGCTAGCTCTGATACTGAAAATAAAGACAGCAGAGAAGAAAATAAAAGCTTGAAACAGTATGTATTTTGTCTTATAGTTCTAGTAACTCATTAAAGTGAGAACTCTTACACCAGGCAGACTTGACACTTCTGTGTTTTAATACCAGATCAGTGCTGCTGTTCAAAATGAATAACTTAGACATCTCACTGTTATACATCTGCTTGAAAATGTTTTGCTCGTTTCATACAGACTTGGCCTAGAAAGAGGTTCAACAGCCAAGGAAGCATTGGATGTAATAGTTGCTTTGTTGGAAGAGCATGGGCAAGGAGGAAATTACTATGAAGATGCAAGTTCATGCCATGCTTTCCAAAGTGCATTTTTGATTGTGGACAGAAATGAAGCCTGGGTACTGGAGACATCTGGAAAGTACTGGGCAGCTGAAAAAATCACAGGTCAGTTCATCACTCACAGCAAGCCTAGTTCATAATTAATGTTTATTATTGTTTTGGAAGAATTGTCTTAAAGTATCTGATTTTAAGTAACTAATTTATGCAAGTGTTCAATTAAATGATCAGTTTTAATCTTGTTTTTATATACATATTTATACTACTTTCAGCTTTTAAGCATTGATTTACATTGGTTAATGTAACAGCATTTTCTGTCAGGTTGGAGAATATGTTGCCTGTATACAAAAGCTTTATAATCGTTATGTTTACGCTTTTATGTTTGATAAATGTTGTGCTTTCCCAGATTTATTTACTGCTTGGAATGTGTCAAGAATCTTTTCACTGTAGTTAATGTAGAAATTATTGCTTACTAATCTGAAATATTAAGAAGCTAGGATAAGCATTAGTAGCTTGAGAAAAGGGCTTATGTGTAGCTGGTTGTCTTAATTTCAGCTGGGACAGAATTGTTTTCCTCTGTGTTTGGTATGATGCTATGTTTTGGTTCTCAGAGAAAAACAATGTTGATAACACAGTGATGTTTATAGTTGCTGCTAAGTAGCATTGTACAGAGCCAAGGCCATTCCATTCACAGCAAAGGACCCTAGGAAATGGGATTGAACAGAATTAGGATAGCTGACTTAAACTGACTGAAGGGATATTCCATACCACATGACATCATGCAGAAGGAGTTCTGAAGGGGAGCTGGGCTCTCTTCCACCTCTCAGGGTCTAGCTGGGCAGTGGTTGGCAGGTGATGAGCAATTCTTTGTGCATCACTTGTTATGTACATTTATATATATATGTGTATATATATGTGTGTATATATACATATAATAATTATTTTCCGTTTTCTTCTCTCTATCTTAGTAAATAGTTTTCTCTCACCCATAAGTTCTACTTTGCTTATTTGATTATCTCCCCCATTCCACTGGGAGGGGGCAGAATGAGTGAATAGCTGTGTGGTTATGAGCCACCTGCTGGGTTAAAGCACAACAGTGGTAAATGGAATGGTCTGCTTCTGTTTGCTTTACTGCAATAGATATAGGCCCCTCATATTCCCATTTCTTACCTAACAGTGCAGGATAAAGGATTTTTTTTTTCTCTTTAATAGATCACTTGTTTTTCTCTGTGTGTGAAGCCAGATCTTCCAAAGTGACTTCTAAATTTCATTAACTTTGTGGCTGCACTTACTTAAAACTTTGTGGAATATATGTGCTGCCGTAAGATTGTCTAAGGCATATATTTTTTGTGATCTGGTTTATCGTTTTTAGTATAGAAGGGATTTCTATTTTTGTAAGAGAAGAACTTTATGAAAATTACACACACATTTGAACGAATTAAAAAAAATCACTAGGTTATGAAATGACAACCGTCTTCTATTAACCTGCCTGGCTGCTGTTTGAAGTGTTTTTCACTTAACCTTTTTAGCTACATCAGCAGTATATAACCTTTGTGTGCTACTTCCCAACAAGTGAACTGTTGACTTCATCTGCAGCTTGTATCTTTTTGAAGTGATACTGCAACTCTGTTCTCATTTTTACCAGCACATTTCTCTTCCAGTGGTCCTTATGAGCAGCAGATTAAATTGACTAGTTTCCATCTCCTTCCTGTAGCCTGCTGTGGCTGACAGGATGAAAGTGGATGGCTGCTGGCTATTGAAGAACTGTGTATTTCATATTTCATACTTGTTCAGGAGATTCTTTTCTGCAGCCATATTTATGCCTTGAAAAATGAATGTGTGGATGCTGTTAAAACAGGGAAAATGTGTCATTTCTCAGCAGTGGGAAGAGAACTCTCAGAATTATTCTTTTCTCATTGCTGTAGTTCTGTAAAGCTTATAGTACATGTTTACAAGCAACTTTTCGACAGTAATTTAAGGATAAACATTTTAAAATTCATCCTGTTGCTATTCTTCAGTCTGAATGGATAAATTAATCTGCATGATAAACTTGTCCCCTTCAAGGGGATCAAAACCATGAAATGTTATTTCACATCAGTTACTAAGTGTAATAATTGAAGAGTTTTTAATGAGTAGCTTGGCTAGCTTGATGTGAGCTCAAACATTTTTATCACAGAAGTCAAGCCAGTTCTCTGAAAGGCATGCTGCTTGAAAGCACGAGCACACTGTCAGAGAGCAAGTACAAACCAGAGCTCAATGGCAGTAACTTTCCCAGACTTACGCACGTAACTTTCCACTGCAGTTCTTCCTGATTATTTAAATAGAACGTATGTGACATTAGAAAGGTGAGCTTGCTTTTGTGAAGGCAATATTAATTAATAACTTTTAGAAATACTGCTTTGGTTTCTGTTTAAGAAAAGTTTGTGCCAAATTCCAGAATCTGATTTATTTTAGTTGACGGATTTGCTTTATCAGCTTTTCCTTTGGCTTCCTATGCATTTACTTTATCCTTTCCAAGGCATATCTGCAGCTGGCACTGTTTGTTAGTCATGCTGTAGATATATGGGTATGAGCACTGCAGTATTTTTGAGAAAAGCAGTTAAGAAAAAAAACAACAAACACTTCAATATTCTTTGAAGGTTGTTTATGCTGCCATTTCATTTCATGGCATTTTAAAAATTAACATTAAAAATGAATTCTTTAACTTCAGCCTATCTTTTGCTGCTTACAATAAAATTATTTTTCAAGTGGGAAGCTTAAAGCAATCAATTAAAATATTTTCCAAATTATGTTTTCAGTTTTAGGGTAGGAGACAAAGAGCATTTATTAATCTAAATGAAGCTTGACCGACATATATTTTTTGAATCAAATTAGACCTCAAGTCTTGTTGCAGCTGTCTTACTGGACAGAAAAATAAGGCTGGCATCTTGTCAGTGTTAAGGTATGCCTTGTGGCATTTGGAGACATCTTTCACTTTATGATCATGTATGTGAAGTTCAGAGGTACTGTGAAACTGCTGTCTGACTGAAAAGCACTATTAATCATGGAGCAGTGTAAATATCTACATAGGGCAGAGAGAACTGAGCTTTGCAACTTGCAGTGAATGGTAACTGCGTGTGTAATTATGCTGCTATGTTAAATGTACATCCTGATCGATGCTTTCATTTCTTTCCTAATTGCAATTACTTTGTCCTTCTAGCAACTCCCATAAGAACTGCATTAATACTCTTGTAATATGTGGCTCTTTCTGTAGAGGGGGTGAAGTGCATTTGCAATCAGCTTTCACTAACTACAAAAATTGATGCTGAGCATCCTGAACTAAGGGATTATGTGAGAAGTCAAGGCTGGTGGAATGGAGACACAGACTTCAATTTTTCTGAAGTGTTTTCTCTCGGTGATGGCCATTTAGCCTGTTGTTCTGGCAGGGAGAGCTTGGAAAAGCAAAGTGGTAAGTGTGAACTGGGTTTGGTTTTTTTGTTGGTTTTTTTTGCATATACAGCAGGATTTTTTTCACTACTGCTTACTTTCTGTCATCTGTCAGAACTGCAGGTGACTGAATGTAAACCATGTGGAAAGGAAGACCAGAAATGAAGGCTATTCTTAAACTTGCCTCAGTTTAGAATGAAGTCCTTAGTGTTCCTCACAATTTTGCTTTAAGAGAGGGTTGAAATTACAAAATAGTTTGCTTTGCTCTTGTTCTACTGTGCACGATGCGCTTTGGTGCAAATACAGTGGCCCTCTTATTTTTTTTATTTATAGTATTGGTCTCTTGTATGAAAGTTTGATCTCAAAGAATGTTGTGTGTGGAATATTTAGGATTTTGGGGTAGGAATTCAGAACGCAGTTTAAGGAAGATAAATGCTATTTAGTTGTGAACTGAAGTTCCTTTTCCACTGTTGAGTGGAACTAAGCTGCCAGGACAGACGATGTGCCAATTGCCTTCAGTCAGATAAAGAGTTTATTTCCAGACTGAAGTTAATGACTGCAGCTAGCCAAAATAGCTAGAATATGATCAGCCTGTAGCAGTGCAAAGCTGACAGGTATTTGCTTTTTAAGGTATGAAAAGTGGTACAGATAAACTTTTTATGAAGATTCCTTTAGTAAGGATGTGAGTTTACTATATTTTTAGCATTTTCATATATTGACAAATGTCAAGAATTGTGTAGAGATGAAATGCTTATTGCAGCGTAGGCTCCTGCTAACATTATAGAATTACTTGAAGCATAGCTTGCGTGTGAGAGGCAAATAAAACAAGTGTGAAGGATCATAGATGAAAGGGATTAATAAACCCAGATATTAGTTCTGAGGATCTTGATGGACAGATGGCCATGGCTGCAAATCTTGCAGCCTTACTAAGCTATCCCATGTCTCCTTGTGGATTGAAGCACTCAAACGCATAAGGGTGAGGCTTGGGAAGTTGCTGTAAAAAGAAGCCCTGCTGGCTTCTAGTGCAAAATAGCATGGAGGTGCCATGGGTAAAAAGCTGTGATAAGGCATGTGCAGGAAATAACATGAGAATAGGAGTTTCTTGCAGGTTTGGATAAAAATCTCTGTGTCTAGGCTAGACCTAATGAATGTAAGATGACTGCTCCAAAATTTGACTGAGAACTAAAGGAAATTGATAAGAAGTGGAAAATTAGGATGTTACTATTCTGTCTGAACTTGGACAGGGGTAGCTTCTTAAAGGAAAATTAGGTGTTTCATGCAAGTAATCTTTTCACAGTGATTGCTGAGGCAGTATTACAGACAGGGTAGCTACCTGAAAAAAACTTTTTATATGAGATTTCTCCCTACATAGTAATTGTAATGCCTAATTAATGCTTCCTGCTGTTCTCTTTTACTGATAGGTAAGCTCATTCTGGGTTTACATTGTTAAACTGTTAAGTGGGATTTGGCCATACTGAGTGTCACTGGACAAACTAATTCAAACACCATCCAGACTAAAATCTTTCCATGGGGTCCAGGCCACTGAACACTCAGGAATTTTTTTTCCCCTCATATAGGTGGTGTTTCTGCACAAACTATGATTGATGTCCTGCGTGACAAGGATAGTGGTGTCTGTGTGGACTCTGAATCTTTCCTTACTACAGCTAGCATAGTGTCTGCTCTGCCTCAGGACCCTAGTTTTCCCTGTATTCATTACTTCACTGGCACGCCAGACCCTTCAAGGTAAGCTACAGCACTGGGAGTCCTCTGGGTGCAGAGCAGATGATGGTTTGAAGGATATTAAAGAAGCTTTGTTTTCAGAATTGGAATTGAATAGAGAAGCGTCTGTCTTCCATCCTGTCCTGTGGTTTTTTTGTGGGTTTGTTGTTTTTTTTGTTTTTTTTTCCAGAGACATTTTTAGCCAATAAGATTTCCAAAATGGAAAGCTGAGTGAAACCGTAGGGTTGTTCTGAACACTAGCAGAACCCAAAATTACAGTGACACAAAGTCAGCTTTCAAAATAACTGTCAATTCCTAGTAGCTATTAGGAAGGTACATTTTATTGCGCTTCCTTTCATGAGAAAGCCAATGCAGAGTTATTTCCTTCACTTACAGAACAGGTGAGATGTTTGCTGCCTTTTCTGTATTAGCAGAGCTTCCATTGACTGGAACATTCCTGCTGCTGAAGGGGCTCTTTCCTGTCTTCCCTACCAGTCATCTGAGGTTGGAAGAGGAAGGGATGTAATGAGAGGAGCACCGGATCAAGAGATGATAACAGAGAAGCTAATAACACAACTTCCAGGCTAGGCAGGCAGGATCGGAAAGATATTGCAGTGTTACATCTCAGCGTGGACTGCACACATCTGGGACCGAGAATGCTCTCTAGCGACACAGATTTTTTTTGTGGAGGATGTTGAAAGATGAGCTATTATTATATAGCCTTCAATTAACAGAGTCTGTAGGGGATTCTTCAATTTTAAAGCCTTCCTTGTGAAGACGAAGAGAAACATCCCTATACCAGACTGCAGCATGATACTTCTTTCTCTGGCTGTTCTTTCTGTTTCAGAAGAAATTATTTGTGAATAGACCTGTGGATTATTTCACATTGAAAGATTTCTAGGATGGGAGGAGGGAAGAAGTAGTAAGTATTTATGGATAGCAGCTATTAGGAACCATGAGCAGCCTTCTGACAAGACAGAATTGCAGTGAATTAATTCCTCTCAAATCCTCTCAAACACCCTGCCCATCACCTACTATATTCTCATTCTGGTTTCTGGTCAGATTTTGGAATTTATTGATAAAGCTTTTCTGAACATAGAATAAGAAGAAATTTTGAGTAGACAGTGAAAAATAAAAGGTTTGGTACATTTCACCCTGTTAGCCTATAGATAACTTTGCACATGAATTGATATTTCAGCTTGTTTAGTGGGCTGTCTTTGGTGATCAGATCAGATACGCGGTGGAAGTGAGGCTTTTTAGAATGACATCTTCATTATTAAATAGATCCAAGAAAAGAATTTTTTTTTTCCTCAAGGTATTGATGAGCATCTAAATTACTTCATGTTTATAAACATAAATATAAACATAGTTTATAAAGCATTTAGTTTTTCTAGACTTCAAGGTGTTTCATTCTTAAAGTGAAATGAAGATAACCTGGGCGGTAATTCTGAGTTAGAATTACTTATTTTCTGGTTAATTAAGTGTACTTAACTTTTCTTCTTTTGTCAGTTTTGTCAGCATGAAGGCAGTAATACATGTAGAAAGAAAATAATAATGAAAGCTTAGTGTGCAAATAAACGCAAGCACAAGAAACAGACATCTAAGTACAGAATGCTCTTGGATTAATGTGACACTTCAATTAGCCATTTTTGACAGGCCCCTGTTAGAGGGAAGAGATGGATGTCCTTGGAAAACCTTTAGTTTGTATCTGACCTACAGACCAGCCAGTTAGGTCTCTGTGAAAAGGGTGTATTTGTGCCATCAAATTAAAATCTGAAAATTTCATTATCTGAAAACCAGACAGCACTTTGTTAACAGCTGTTTTTCAAGTCACTTTTTGGTCACTAGGCTGTAAGTGCACCATAGTTACAGTGCTGTTTAGGAATGTTACTGTTTAAAAAGGCAATGCAAATCTTCACATACACTTTCTAATGAATACATTGCATGATGTTTGTATTACAGTATATGCAAATGCTTTGAGAGCATGTTCTGACCAGAAATACGATCAGTAGTCAGTCATGTGCAGTCTGACAGTCCTGTGTTACTGAACTACATCTCGTTGCAAGTTTAAATGGACCCCTGCGTTACAAGACTGGGTTTGCAGTGGTTACTAGCCAGCTGGATTCTTGTTGAGACAGGAGGTCTGTGGGCCATTTATTGACTCTCTTGAACACATAGGTACTTTTTCAGTTTTAAACCTAAATAGTGAAGATGGGAGTTTTTGAGATAGTATTGCATGGCATCAAAAGTGAACAGAACGTATACAGCACTCACAAGCTGCTCCCATGCAGTTGCTCCCACATATCTTCCTTATTGGAAGCTGGATTTCCATTGCTTTAACAATGTCTTTTCTAGTTGGATGCACCTGAGAATACAAGGGAACTTGTGGGCTAGATCATTAGAGAAATAATTTATCTTCGGTTATAAACAGAATTTGCCTGGGAATCACAGATATTAAGCTGTATCACTTCAGTTATTCAGAGATTTGCCTCTTGCATTGAGGTAAAGAAGCTATAGGGAGAAATAAATGAAAATGTTGTCCTCGAACAGATGATGTTTGTTCCTGTAAGAGTGGTTAAGCATTATTGTGCTATCAAGTACTACAGAAATCATCCATGCCAAAGGCACTTTCCATCCACTTTGCATTATGCAACTCAGATGCTAAAGTTTAAGAAAATAAATTTAAGCTTGCTTACCAAAACTTGTATTTGACTTGATGCAAATTATTTGGGATTAAAATGAGCAAGGCTTCAAACAGTTTTGGTGAGATTTCTTTCTTTTTTAAAGAATGAGAGTCTGGCTGTTTAAAAACAAACAAACAAAAAAACACTTTAGAGGCCTTTCTTGCTTTCATTTATGCTCCAATGCATTTAAAAAGTGCATTATTTTAACTGTAGGTACTGAGTAAGGCTTTATGACAGTGATGGATAGAGTTGCAGCAATGAACCTGCTGAGTGCATGCAGGCAGCACTATCAGCATTTTTGCATGTCTTGCACTTCTTGCAGCTTCTCTGCAGAATGCAGGATGCTGTTTTGATGTGCATCTAAAGGGAAGGCAGTTTCTCCATGCATGTGAGAATACATTCTCCTCCCAGATTCTCAGGAATTAAGATCCTATTTCTTTTATTTCTCCTCTCCCTGAAGTCAGATCCAAATTAAGCGTTGAAATTGCTTATGATGTGTCACAGTATGGGTAGCCAGGTCTTTTTTTTTTTTTTTTCCTCCTCACATAAAATTCACCAGTACAGCTGGTCATATGCCAAGTCCTCTGATATTGAACAAGCTGTGTAATTGTTCATGCTACACATGGACACAAATCACACACACATCTGCATTTGTGTGATTTTAATGGAAATACTGTGTGGGGAGATGAGAGATGGCAGTGTGAACAGAGGAGAACAAGCTGATGTGGAACTGAATGCTGAGATTTTGTTTAACAATTCAATACTACTTTTCTTAAGTAACAACAGAATTGGTGAGAAGGAGACCAGTGAAAGCTGTAGGTAAACCCAGCGAACGAAGTCTTGCAATAATTGGCAAAATTTGCTTTTTTTAAAGCATGGAGATTTATTTTGCTTCTGAACTGTGCCGGCTCTCTAACCTAGTTTGTGGATGGTGTAGGTGAATTATCTATGCTGTGCCTGGCAAACATTTGAATGATGTATATAAAATCTGTCTGACTGCTGCAAGCAGTAACTCTCATTTCTTTCAGGTCCGTGTTTAAGCCTTTTATTTTTGTTGACGATGTAAAATTAGTACCAAAAGTACAGTCCCCTTCTTTTGGAGATGATGATCCTGCTAAAAAGATACCTCGATTCCAGGAGAAACCCGATCGCAGGCACGAATTGTACAAGGCACATGAATGGGCCCGGTCTCTCCTTGAGAGTGATCAGGTAAGAGCTGTGGGACCAGGAAACTGTTATAATCTTATATAGATTTCCTTAAAGCTATCTGTTGATGACTTACTTTGAGTTAGAGCACCATACAAGGTTTATGCTCCACTCTCATCCTTTCTTGAAAACATTCAAGTCTGAATTTAAAATCCTAGCTATCTTTGTATTGTATAGTGATGTCTAGGTATATATAGAGAGGAAAGAAAACAGTGGGATCACCAGGGCCTTCCAGTCATGGTGGTATTGGTATTTCAGGCAGTTTGTGCAGACCCGCAATGTCATGCTGTACTTTCACAGAGGACTTGCTTTTCTGCAGTTTTCCTCAGGTCAGAGTCTTGCTAAGATCATTACAGAATTCAAACTTGCTCATAAGGGATTAAGGTACCTATGGTAACCTCTGTTAGTACAAACTCTATTTAAATGCAGTTTTGGCTAGGTGTGGTTTTAATCCCTTGGAACGGTTTAATTAAAAGCTGTGGCCTCTGTGGTAACACTGACTCAGTATACTGCTCTTTCCATAACATTCATTGAAGTCTGTTCTGTGAGATGCTGATTTAGTGAAGACTTAGAAGCAGTGCATTAGTAAGTTTTTATTAAAATAAGAAGTCCCACAGTGTGGCACCAAAAGTTCCATTAGGAAGAAAATGAACTTTTAGCCACATTCATGGTAAAATAACTGACTACCTGAAAGCTTAAAGCTTAGCTTAGGTGCACTGTTTTTCTGTACAAATGGCAGTATAAATCCTGGAAACCCTCACTCATGCTAAGCCATTTTTGTTTCTGGAATTCAATTTTGAAAGCTGCAAGCAAAAACAAACGGCATGCTTCCATTAAGTATAAATCAATGAATAAGAGACTTTAAGCAACATCTGGATAAAACAAAATGACACCATTAGGAGTGAATTTTCTGCCAAGAAACATGTAGAGAAGTAACCCAGAATGATGCAAGCAGCCTGGACTCTCACTGCTGTTACGTTGTGCATCATTTCAGATGTAGCCATTGTCTTGCAGGTGATGATGTGGGGGATAAACAGTCATCTGTATAATGCTCAGGGTTTCTAGTCTTCTCATACAGATTTGTTCACTGGTTTTCAGGCATAAGAAGCTGCTTTACATCTTTCTCACACAATATACCTTTTTCCTCTATCTATCTTTCACTTCATCTACCTGCTGTGCTTTAAACTTAGCAACTGTTTTTTGGTTATTACTCATAAAACATCAAGTATCCAGCACTGTTCCTTTTAGCCTATGACCATCCAAAAAAGCTATTAATAGAAATAGTGTATATTTTAATCAGGCTTTCTTATTTTGAAAGGTACTTGAAAAGATCTCTGCAGCAGAAGAGAATGGGTAATACTTGAATGAGCTGGTTTACTGCTTAATTCAGTTTGGTCATTTTATGCTTTTAGGAGAAGGGCCAGAAACTGATGAGCATTATGTTAGACCTTGAGAAGCAAGGCTTAGAAGCAATGGAAGATATCCTTACTCGTACCGAGATTCTGGATCCTGCTGAAGTAGTAGATCTTTTCTATGACTGTGTTGACACAGAACTAAAGTTCTTCAAATGAAGTAAGCAAGCACTTTAATTCTTTAGATACCGGTACCAGCTGTCAGTGAATGTGAAATGTTGGATCCAATTCTGACCATCCTCTTTCACGTGAAGTTGAGTTTCAAAATCAGGTCCAAAGCTACCTTTCCACTTCAGTGCATCTAGTTGTCTCAAAATTGACTCTTTGCTCTGTATTGAAGTGCAAGCATTTATATTTATATTTACATTTTTCTCAGTTTCACTGTTGCTTGGAATGGATTTTAAACCAATTTTATCTCGTTTCAGCTACAGTGGCTACTGTTAGCCTTTTCACAGGAAGACTGCAAAGTTCTTCAAGCCTTGAAAGAAAGTCTTCACACTTATGAATTTGCAGGAAAGACATTTCTAGAGGGAAAAAAATGTTACCTGCTAGCTATATCTGGTTAACAAATTGCTTTCCTTTGTCCAATCTTGTGGTGTTCCTGTTTGTGTATGTATATAGTGAAAGGAGAAAATCACTGACTGGTCCGATTACTGTGTGCATGCTGGCTAATTTAGTACAGAATGTTTAAAAATGTATGCTGGGCAACAAATTAAAGCAAAGATTAACTTCATCAGGATAACTACCATACTGTCATTGAAAGTAATCTGTTTTTTTTTTCTCTGCTGCTCAGGTCTAGGCTTGCAGCAAAGCTGTCTTGCATTTCTGTCTTTTTGCTAATTTATGCAAAGAATAATAGAGTTGAAATCCCAGTTTTGAGGGGGCAGGAAGGTAAGTCCTGTTTCTTGGCCTTGTTGTACCAGTCTCATTTTGACAGATCTGGTTACAGTGACTTAGCATCTCACATTATGCCTGCACAAATGGTCAGAATTAGGTCCCTCAGGATAAGTTTTGTCTTCATCTGCTGCCTTGGTGTTTGTAATGCACCTGGCTAATACCCTAGTGCTCAGTACTGCAGTGCAGCCAGGCTGAATGCCAAAGACATCTGAACATACCTTGTTGACTCTTAAGACAGTTAATAAAACAATGTACTTATATACAAGCTATAAATTTGGAATATTTTGAGGGAATAGATGCTGGACATTCATCATAACTATTTTCCCTCCAGGCCTTTGTAATGCTGAACAGTTACTGGTGATGTCAGTGATGTACATACATGGCTGATGAATCCAGTAAGTACCAGTGAGTTACTACTGGTGGGTCTGACTAAGCTTAGAAATGGTTGTGTTACTCTTCTTTATACAATAGACCTTGCTTTTTGTGTATTTTCTTTTGGAAGTCAGATGAGGGGAATACTTTTACGAATTAAACTAGTAAACTGCTTTCCATGTCATATTAAAACAGCTGTTTTAACAGGAGAGATAGACAAGAAGACATTTTTAATAAATGGACATTAGCATTTGGAGATATAATCCTTCATTGTTCAGGGAAGGGATAGTGATGAATCGCAGACTTTTGTATTGAGGAAATGAAAGCTACTTAGAAGGCAGCAGAACCTCAAATTGAAACTAAAATTAGGGAAATTGCAATATTGGCGCACTGGCTTGTCAGATTTTTAACTTTTTTTAATGAATTTGTTCCATCAGCCTCGTTACCTTGATATTGCCTTATACAACAGATGAGAATTGGAGAAGAAAACATTGGATTTCCATATATAGAACATAAACATGAAAATGTGTTCTCTTAGGCCTACCTAATCACCTTCCTATTCACACTGTATTCCTCTGAGAGGCTCTGCCATGGGAACAGCTCTACCCGGATAGATCTTTCTCCTTTATTTCAGCTCCTGTGCCCTGGTATTATAAAAATGATAAAGGGCATAAAGGGGAACGAAGAAAGAGGCAAGTAAGCCTAAAATTTAACTTCTCTCTTCCTGGCCAGAATAGTGACAGCAAGAAGCATACTTCATTCCAGAGACTATTGCACTGGATGAAGATGAACGGTGTGCTTTTCCTAACTGCTGACAACTCAGGTAAATGGATTTCCTATGAAATCCACACGTGGAATGAAAGGGTGCTTAGAATGAAAATACTCCTATCAAAATAGACTTAACACTCACCAACTGAACTTCAAAGCTGCTTCTACAGCTGTTGCTTGCAGAGCACTGTGTCCTGAAAGGAAAAGTTGGATACTGGTGAAGCAGGGGAGACCAGCGATAAAATGCTTGTCCCAACTAGAGGGCAGAGAGGCAAGATAGTGTTCCTGCTAAAAAAAAATGATACATATTTGCCCTTTTGAAATTATCTTGTGGGAAACTGTGTACTTACTGCGAATTGTTTTTATGACAGAACTCATCATTTTGAGCACAGTGATCTAGGCAGTGTTTGTAATAGCTGAAGCAAAAGGAAGATAGGTAGTGAATTACAAACAAACAAGTGTCTACAGTGCTTGGTTACAGTCACTTAGAGAAAACTAAAGCAGCTCCATGGCTTGGACCTTCCAGAGCTCCTGAGCACAAACATGGCCTAGAACAGTGCAAGGGCATAGTGATGGTGGCCTGAGTCGTTCTTTGTATCCAAGTGCTAGGAATTACTGAAATGTTAATAGATCTTGAACAACAAGGATTTAATATGTATTAAATAACACTGCACCATCACTTAAAAATATGTGCAAGCTTTCAGTTTAATTTCTATAAGATGTATCTTTTTAAAACACTCCTAATCATAATAAAACCAGGAATAACATTGGTCTTCCATTAGATATTTTCTGGCATGTGGTCTGAGCTATATATAGTTTTCAAATATTTATGAAGATACTTATTGCAGAGTTGTACACGAGTTCCAAAACATGAAAATCAGCAGTACATCAATTTTTAATAATAATAGAGCAAAATATTCTTTAATACAGTATTAAACTTATTTTCCAGTTGTTTGAGAAGCAATGCTGATCCCTGCTTATTACTACATCCATGCAAATGTATTAGTAACTATAATACTGGTAACAGAAAGCGTTGGTCAAAGCATTGCTGATTTTTTTCTTTTGACATGAAGAACGAGGTATCGTAAAAGACTAATGATGCTTCTTTGGAGTCCTACAGGCAAGATATTTAAATGCTTCTTACCCTTACAGCACCTGCACATGGTAAGCATGCATGCATATATGGATGAGGTGCTGCGAGATATTGTTTAGTAGCTTAGGGTAGTAATGGTGATAGGAGTACAGTTGGACTAGATGATCTTGTAGGGCCTTTCCAAGCTTGTGATTCTATGATTCTATGAATAGGAGTCATAGCATAACTGAGCTGTTACAAGAACTAACAGAAAAGCAGAGATATCTAAGGGTGTAGTTACCTGTCTTTTCTAAATGCTGTTGTCCAAAGGAATAGCCATGGGGAAGGATCTCCACCTACCATTTATAATATTTTTAACAGCTGCCGGTGTAAAATGTGGTATTTCTAGAAATAAATCATAAAATAACCATAAATAACCTAGCTGTTAAATGGGAATAGCAGGAGACTATACTCTCTGGGAAGCCCAGTTCTAATACTGTCACCCCAGAAGTAGTTCTTTCTCATATTCGCATGGAAATTCCTTTATTCTACTGTGTGCTTGCTGCCCCTTGTCCCATTGCTGGACACCAGCAAAAAGAGCCTGGCTCCATACTCTTGACATCTGCTTTTTAGAGATTTATAAGCATTGGTAAGATCCCCTTTCAGTCTTCTTTCTCTAGGCTGTGAATAGTCCCAGCTCTCAGACTTTTCTAACAAGGGAGGTGCTCTAAGCCTCTCATCATCTTTGCAGTCCTCCACTGGACTCTCTCCCAGAAGTTCCCTGTCTTTCTTGAACTGAGGAGCCTGGATCTGGACACAGTACTCCAGATGTGGCTTCACCTGGGCAGAGTATAGGGAGAGAAGAACCTCTCTCAGCCTGTTGGCCACACTTTTTAATGTATCCCACGATACCACTGACCACCTGGGCCACACAGCACACTATGGCACATGACCAACCTGTTGTCTACCAGAAAAAGTAAGTCCTTTTCTGTAGAGCTCCTTTCCAGCAGCTTAGCCTCTAACCTGTACTGATGCATATGGTTATTCCTCCTCAGGTGTAGGACTCTACACTTCCTCTGGTTGAACCCCATCAGGTTCCCCTCTGCCCAACTCCAGCCTCTTGAGGTATTACTGAATAGCAGCGCAGCCTTCTGATGTCAGTCATTCCTCCCACTGTCATATCATTAGTAACCATTCTGAGGGTGCACTCTATCCCTTCATCCAGCTCATTAATGAAGATGTTGAACACGACCTGGGGAGCACCACCAGTTACAGGCCTCCAAATAGACTCTGCGCTGCTGATAACAACTCTGAGCTCTGCCAGTCTGCTGGTTCTCAGTTTACCTCACTGTCCAATCTTCTATCCCACAGTTCCTAAGCTTAACTATGGGAATGCTATGTGAAGCAGAGTCAAAAGCCTTGCTGAAGTCAAGGGAGACAATATCCACTGCTCTCCCCTCATCTACCCACTCAGTCATGTCATCGTTGAAGGCTACCAGGTGGGTCAAACTTGATTTCCCCTCGGTGAATCCATGTTGACTACTCCTGATAAAAGACAGAGGACTTCTGATAGAAGAGATAGAATAGATAGATGGCTTCTCCTGCCAGGAGAGATGCTCCAGTCCCTTCATCATCTTGGTGGCTCTATGCTGGACTCTCTCCAGTATGTCCATGTCTCTTTTGTTCAGGGGAGCCCAGCACTGGGCACAACACTCCAGATAAGCCTTCAGTGGTGCTGAGTAGAGAGGAGTGATCACTTCCCACAAGCTGGTGGCAGCTCTTCCTAATACAGTGAAATGCTGCATTTGTGTGATTCCTGCTGGAAGTAGACATTGTGTGATCTGAACATCAGTGAGCCAAACAAACATCTCACTACTGCATCTTAAAAGCAGAAGCTCGAGTCTCATCCCTGGCTGCCTTGCTTTTTTTTTTCAACCAATTCATTTAACAGGAATCACAATCTTAGGGACTCCTTATTCTATATGGTGTGCTTCCTCTTTCTTTAGCCATTCTGGAAAAGTTCTGTCATCTTTGTCAGGTCTGTGGCCACCCTACCAGCTGGGTTTCTTCAGACATGTTTGCTATCCTATAGGGATCTGTAATTAATAGGAGGTAGCTCAGCAGCTGCCACAACCCCTGATTTCCTTTCTCTTCATGCTTGATGAGGATTATTATGGGCCTTTCTGTTCTTGAAAGTGCCATTCTGTTGCAATCTGAACACAAGTAGAACAGAAGAAGTCAAAAAGCATACAAAAAAACTAAACATGTCATGTTAGCTTCTGACAGCTCATGGAAAAATGTCTGAATAATAACTGAAGGATTACTAAAATATTTAAAAATGAAGATGGAAGAGGAAAAATGAACTACAGGCACATCATGCAAAAAGTATTCTTTGAGGTAACATATCAGCTTAATAAGAATTGTCTGAACACTACAAAGATTTTAAATTTTATGCTTCTTCATTTAAAAAATATCCACATATATACAATATTTAAAAGCCTATGCTAACACTTTTGTGGTGTGTATGCCACAAAGTACTTCCAAAAGTATCATTTACATCTCTCTTTCAGCTTATAAAAATGTTAACATTGCAGCACTTGCAATCCAAATGTAATTTCTATCGCTGTAACGGGGACCCTTCAGTTCTGTATATTATCTTGATGTTCTCCATTCTTTAATACCAGTCCAGAAAGGATCAGATGATTCTTCTCATCTCACGTGTGTTCTTAATGGTGGATTTTTAGAGGGATCTGTAAATACGTAGGACAGGTTAATTCAGAGGAGATAGATACATATTTTGGGAATGCATTTTGGATGTAGTTCTACAGCAGTTTAAACAACCTATGTTGTGTTTATCATCTGTTGTTAAACAGATACATATTGCTCTGTAGGCCTTCCGATGCAAAAAGTGTTAAATACAGATGATGATTTAGACAGACTTAATTTCTATTTGCTCCACAAATGCAAGAGTCTGAAGAACACAAACTGCATGTCTACCCACATAATTTTATTTTTTTTGCTACTACGTCTTTACAGTAATTAAGTGCTTTTCATTATATCTTTGGTCTCTATTACCACTGTAACAAATCTCAGTCCTATCTGTTCTATGCTTACAGTCCAGCTTTTCATAGGACAGCTGGTTTCTGTTCATTATTTTCTCTCACCCTATTTAATGCTCTTGGATAACTGTATGACATTCCCATGTTTACACACTTACCTCTAGGTATCTTGCTGGGATATATTTTCTGAAATGGCTTGAATTCATCAGGTGGGGGGAAATCCTCCACAGAATGGAAAGTAAATTTAGATTCAAAGTCATCTAGGAAGTTTCAGGGAAACAAACATTAGTTACTGTTAGAGATTTAAATAAATAAATAAATAAAAATTGCCACTATTGATTTCAAATGCAGACTGGCTTTCCCTGGAATACGTAGTGGCTTACTCCAAATAAGAAGTCTTGAGCCAGTTTGTGAGCCATACAAATTTTTTAGCTTAATTGCAAACACTGCTAGAAACTGAAGTTAAGCTTCTGGCTGCCTTTGCAGTTTTCTGCACTGATGATGTGGTGGTAACAGATGTATTCCTCTGTGGTTTTCAAGCAATTTAGCAAGAATGAATGGCCAATTCATCAGACCACAAAAGTAGCGTTTAGCAGGCTTTGCTGCATAGGATTAAAGCTACAAAATGTCTGTGAACTGTTTCAAAGAAAAATAATGTAAGCACAGTAGCAAATTCTCAAAATCTCAAATAATTTTGCAGGTAGTTCCTGAGTTTGTCTATTGAATTGTTCAAAACCTTTGTGGAAAAAAAACCACCTTCACTTTCTCTTGGCAAAAAAAAAAAATCTATTAGTCTAGTTGTACTACTATACTGTTATGAGAAAGACATGAATGAGTTTCTAAAGTCTGAGAAGCAAAGGCTTTTCTACTAAAGTCTTCAACTAATGCTAATTTAGATGACGTTACCAATAATATGCATATTTCCATTTTTGAGTGGTGGGTAGGGGTCATGAACTGTTGCCCAGGCTGAGACTCCAGACTTGCTTGTGAGTTCAGTTGTTGGTGACCTGGCAGGTGGCTGTGGAGGAATGGCAAGCTTCCCAGCACCAGCTCCTGAAAAAGAAGAAGCAGACCAGCATATAAAAGATCATCACGAATTAATGACACTGACAGTAAGCTCTGCACAGAACTGGAGGGAGTTATAAAAAGAGTGCAATATCTGGGACAAACATATCCAGCTGTTGTAGGTGACTACATACATCTTCTGGACACACTGTGTAAGAGAAAGGGATCCTGAGGCCTCCAAGTTAGCCACTAGATAACCAAAATGGAAACCTCAGAAGTTGAATGATCACAAGAAAAGCATCCCTATAAAATAATGGTTCATCACACAATTCCCAAGCAGCATTAATCACTGTCACAAAGCAGCTGATCTACTGTACTCAGAGCCTTCCCATGGCTGTCAGAGAGAACCAGTAAGCTTTCTCTTGACGTCTGGCTGCTGAGATACAGAGTACAGAACATTCTCTTCAAATGTTCCATATTAAATAGCTGTCTCCTTTTCACAAGTCCACACGGATCTAAACTCATTTTTAAATTATCCTCATTATATCATGTCTGAAAAAAGTTCCTCCTATCATCTGCTCAGGGAAACATTAGCCAGTATCTCCACTACCCAAGTACTCAGAGGAGTCTCACGCTCTACTTACCTTTGCTGAAAAGCAGGGGACAGAATCCATATTTACCTTTACACATCTATGGCTGCAGCTATACTGTATTTATTCTATTCTCTCCTGTAAATTTCCCAATGTAGCTCCAGTCTGCACAATTACATCAGAAGAGGGATGTTAAAAGCAGTCTGGAATTTGAGTAACTGCAAATCAGACAGATGTTACTGTCAGAAGAGCCTGAGGTCTGGCCTGCTCATTACACACTATGCTAATTACATTCCTCCCACATTATGGACTTCATCCTGCTGCTACGTATACTGTACCTGCACCCCTGTGAGCTCTTCAGCCGTCAGTGCCACTTCCCTGCTGGCCAAAAGAGGTAGAAAACTTTATTTCAAACAAATGCTGCTCTCACCTGGGCCTCGGCCTGGTCTCTTCTTCCTGGTCTCCACCACCGCTGCTGGCTGAGGAAGGGGTGGGGTGGGAGGGAGAGGGAGCGACTGAATATTACTGGGTTTATGCAGATGGGACAGCAAGTGGGGAGACTTGGGGGGCAGTGGTGGGGGCACGTCACCACCACTCCCAGCACTGCTGATGGCTGGGGAGGGTGGGAAGGAGAGCCTGTTCGAGGTTGGGGGAAATGCGGGGAGTGGAGGAGGAGCTGGCGGCGGTGGTGTGGGAGGTGGATAATCCCTCGCTTCTGATGGGGAGGAAGCAGCAGTGGAGAAATCGGTCGTCCTGGCTGGAAATCCACAGGGGGGTAAGGGAGGAGGAGGAGGAGGCAGTTGCGAAGCACCTACTGGCAACTTTGTGGGCTTGTCGGCCTGGGGAGGGAGCGGGGGCAGAGGAACAGAGTTGGGGGATCCCCCCTTGGTAGGCCTTTCTGCCGGAGGGGGAAGAGGCGGAGGAGGAGGGAAGGTGAGGGAAGGTTTGCTGGCAGCTGGAGGTGGCGGAGGAGGCGCAGGCAGGCTGGGCCGTGCGGTGCCAGCCCGGGAGGTGCTGGGAGGCTCCGGCGGGACGGCTGGCCAGGGGCTGTCGGATGGGTTTGAGGGGCTACTGCCTGCCTTTGCAGCGCTGTTCGGTGGGGCTGCGGCCTTGGGAACCGCTGCCCGGACTCCAGGAAGCTGCCCAGGCCTCCCTCCTGAAAAAAAGACAGATCACACCTTACATACTGGTATTTTGTTCCATCTCATCAGACAAAACAGCACAAAAAACACTATTCATCTTCCCTCCCCAGTGGTCACTCAGAGTGATTAAATGAATCCACTCAAAATGCCTCATATCCAACAAGTCTCCCCATGGTGCAGAAGACTTGGGAGCTGATGTGTTTTACAAGACACTACAGACTCTGCTTAGTTAAATGCTGACCTACTGAGAGGCCCTGCTCCCCTCTCTGTTCCTCAGCTTTTGCAACACAAAGCACTTGAAGGAGAAGGTGTTTTTCTGAGGTGGCAGGTGTCCTACATAGTGACACATCTGCCTGGTGCAGCCAGCTGGATGTGAATGGTCCATAAGTTTGGGGGCATCGAGGGTTGGAGTGAAAGGCCCCAGAGAACACAAACAGATTGATGCACATCCACCTGCATCCTTAAGTACTTGCTTATGATTAAAAAATTCACACCAATGTTACATAAATCTCAATCCTGTGGATTTTTAAAAATGGTGCCTCAAAGGCTTTCCAGAAGATGCAGGTTCAAAGACAAAGACACTTGACCTTACATGATTTGCCTAAGTACATGTCCAAATTGTTCTGAAACAAGATGTCCAAAAGGTATCTCATTCTGCATTCTGAGAAGTCTGGTCCTAGTTTAAGAACAACTCAAAGCAGCTACGGCAGCTTTGTGAGAAAGCCCCGTCATAACCTGTGCTGAGTATCTTGAGCTTGTCTTCCAGAAAAAAAAAACAGAACAGCTGCAGGTAGAGTCAATTGCTGTCTTTGCTTGCAAATGCCTGCTGCTATGTCCTGCCCATGCAGGCACCAGCTGCCCAGCAGCACCAGAGGTCACAGCAGCCATTCTAAAAGGCTGAAAAGAGACAAAAGCAGCAATAAGGCTCCCACTCATCCCTTGCTCCTGTCCTTGTGAAGCATCAGTAACCTTCTTTTTCAGGTCAGCAAATTACCTTGCTGGATCAGAACTGTCCTTTATAAAACCCAGATGGCATAAGTCTTAAAAATTAAATTCTAAAGTAACATACAAACCTGTGACATCATAGAAATACACAGTAATGGAGAGAAGGAAGTATGACTTCTTTTTTTTTTTTGCCATTTATGCTGAAGGTGATAAATAGAGTATTGAAATCTGAGGTTATCTGAGGCACAATTATGAGTTTACATTAAGCTAATGTAAAAATATACCCATGCAAAATTCTGCAGTCTACTGAATCTATTTCTTATCCATTGTACTATCCATTACAGTTCCCCCCAGCTGCTCTTCTGTGCAAATGAAGTCCTCACCTGGCATGTCTCTCTGGCCTGCTGGTCTGAGAACGGGAAAGCCGCCAGCAAATAAGCCTCCCAGGGGCTGCTGAGAGCCACCCTTATTAATGGCTGGGCTAACTCCATCTCTGCTACTTCCTTTGGGTTCTGTTATAGGAAGAAAAGAAAAAGCATGACAGAAAGCCATTTCATCAATGCTTTCAGGCTGCTAAGACTGAGCAGCAATAAACACAGTCAAGACCAGACTTATTCCTCATTCAATTGGCTCAGTAAGGACAGTTAATACAGTAATGACCATTCTTCTGACCGGTATCTTGAAGCACTGCGCCCTCTGGTGCTTTTTAATCTCACGTCAATGATGGCACCAGCAAAAAGTTGTTTTTAACTACATACAAAGATCTTCAGATCACAAATATGTATGTAATCCTTGTTGGAGATTCTCCAACAGACCTGTCAGGAGTGACTTAGGGTTTGGCTGATCAAGTACATCAAGATCTTCATAACCTTACTTCTGTGTCTTGCCTCTTCCCCACACCATTCCCAAGATACTTTCTTCTAGCACTATCACATTAAGATAGACAAGAAACTAATAAGAAATAAAACAACTAAACAACAACACGGTTCTGCCATTAGCAAGTTGCCTGGGAAAGGGTTCAGGTGAGAACAAACACTAAAAATAAAAGGCTCTGGCAACTGCTGTAACTTGTTAATAGTCTTTTCTCTGATTCCAAATGATGATCAGGCATGTGTTGTCAGCTAAAAGAGGTTAAGAAGTAAACATTCCCGTTCCAAAGGAATTAAGTTTATACATCCAGATTTTTAAAATAAATTTATTTTTGCATCTTTTGTTCTTTTTATCTAGTAAAGAACAGCTCTTCTGCTGGAGGCAGTAATTCCTGTTTAAACAATCATTTAAAAAGAAACTCTCATGGGTTTCATCATTCCTGACTTCATTGTTTTTTTTTTTTTTTTCTGGAATGAGGAATGCCTGTTAAGGTGACACCCAGATTCAGCCTTATTATGAAGTATTAATAGCTGTTGATCTCAGGACAAGATGTACCTTTAGAAAATTGAGCTCTCCCCTTTCACATCCTAAAGATGTTGTCCATAGATGAACTCCAAACCCACACAAATCCTGCCCATCTGACCTCCACAAATGGGGCTTCTGCAGAGCCCACCCAAGGCCCTCCTGCAGGTACTTACTTTCAATCTGTGGTGCACTTCTGTCATTGATTTGAGTCACTTTTCTTAAGCGAGTTCCCTGCTGGATATCAGCCAACAGCGCGTTTCGTGCTTTCTGCTCATCCTTTTGCAATTTGGGCAGTTCTGAACTCACCTGGTGACGACACAAGCATTGGACAGCAGGTCCTGATAAAAATGTATGCTTAGAAAGGACACAAATGTGACAGAAAATTTGAAATAAACCATCCCTGGCAGCTGTCATTCCAAAGCCTTTGGATTCAGCCAATCAGAAGAGCATTCGTTTGTACAGAAGGCAGCAATCCTGAAAGTTTAAATATAGCACACATCTAATATCAGTGAGGTTAACACGGTTGAAAGGAAATTAGGGGGTCATGCTTACATGAAACGTGACCCCTCACTTGGCCGCTTGGGGTCTCTGCCCCACAACTGCAGCCCCAACTGTCTTTATCTCTTTTCACTCTATTTACAATGCTTTGTAACTAAGCCTCCTTAGAACAAACACCCTTCTGTTTTAGTTGTATTGCCTGAGGGAAAAAGACTATTATTTGCATATCAAACTTATAATTGAACATGATTGTTAGCCATTAACTGATTTAGATTCTCTGTACTGGAAAATTTAAGCAGTTTAAGTAGACAATATTTACAACAATGCAATTATATTTCATTAAATTTTCTAGCCTAACTGAGGACTGTAAATGTAAAGTCAGGCTGAAGTTCAAAGTTTCGAAATAAAAACAAAACACATTTTTATTTTTTATTCTTATTTCATTAAGTTTCCTTTTATAAAAAGAAGCACATTCTGCTTAAATCTTTGGCAGTTTTGCTTTTCTGAAGCAGAGCTATTTCCAAACCTATCATGTGGTTAACAGAGCAGTCTAACAGAGGGAAATCTTCATAGCAGCAACGTGCTGCATCTACTACAAATTCCCACAGGTTTCCACAGGTTATGTCTTCATAACATGTGAAAAAAAGTTTAGATGACGTGTGAAGAAAAGTTTAGATGTTGCACTAAGGATCATGGTTTAGTGGGGAAATATTGGTGGTAGGTGGACAGTTGGACTGGATGATCTTAGAGGTCTTTTCCAACCTTAGTGATTCTATGACTCTACGATAAACCCTAATTTTACCATCACAGGCATAATAAAGTACAATACTGTCATGTTTTAAAAAAGCCAACCACACACAACTTGGTTATTGCATTCTGAAGGCAAAACAAAAGCTTAAAAAAATGTAACCAGCTGCTAAATTATTAAAATGCTTAACTTGCTAATTCTAAATGAAAAATTGCACTGTTATTATTTGCAGTTACATTAGCTCAAAAATATTTATAAATTGACACATTTGCACAGCCCCACTAGATGGCACTCCAGATTGCTGCTGATGCCAGCTGCATTCCTGACAACTGATGTAAAAACTCTGTATTACACAATCTTGTGACTGATAATGTAACTATATATTCATTTAAAATATTATGGAAAAAAACATACACTTTTACACAGCTTCCCAATCTGAACCAGTGCTACTTCCCCCTGTGCTTTAAAGGCAGGGATTCTCATTTCCCCTTATGACCACCCTGAAACGCTCCACGTACAGCGAAAGCAACATTAGATCTTGGGCAAGCCAGGAGCTCTTTCCACTCACATTTCCTTAAAGCTGACAGTACTTACTGTGAAAAATGGAAATACCATAACTGGAGCAAGGATGACTTCCCTTTCCACACAGCTTTTTACCAGTATCTTGAGCTTCACGCCTCTCTACGGCTACATGACAATTAGGTTTGAAAAGGATCTGATCAGGACCTATGTTTAAAATTAGCTCCAGCAGCTGTTTTCGTTTCCAGGTTCAAGTGTCCACACACTCTGCCAGCTGCCCACTCCATCTTCCCAGCCTGCATTTCTCAGCAGGAAGATTCTTGGAATATAAAAATTCATGATAGCCACACAGCTATTAGATTAAAATGCCCTGCTTGTGGCAACTTATATTTGCAAGCAACCCAAGAGTTGATATCACTGTAAGAGGGAGGAGATAGCAATTTGTTCACAATTTATAACACAAGAAAGGAATGCTATGCTGGAGGCCCAGAAGACAATCCCCTTCCTTCAGGACCTACTCTGTGCCTGGCCGCAGCTGTCTCTGCCTCCTCCAGTAAGAGAACTATGATCAGCCTGGGTGGCTGATGAGCTGCTGAGTAGCTTGATACGGATTCTCTTTTTCCATCACAAAGTAGGGATGCTCTGGGTGTAATGTTGCCTGCCTGCACCCTGGTCAGAGCTCCTGCAGACTCCTTGTTTGTGGCTTGCTCTTTCAAGGGCTGCCACTGTTCTTGTCAAGCAGCATTTCAGCAGGAACCTCACCCACACAGATACTGCCCTGTCCTTGCAAATTCTTATTTTCATCACTAACAAGAATCCTTATTGGAGTTCAACTTCAAGTCTGAGCACATGAAATAGAAATAATTTAGCGGGAAAATAAATCCATTTTGAGTCACTGAGGGAAAACAGCTGCAAAACAAAGGACATAAGTAAGTCTCAGACTGCTTCTTTTTCCCCTCACTGAAGGGCAGTCTCACTTATTTACAGAAACACCTCACTCTTTCAATGAAAACCAAAAGGGAAGCAGAGAATGCAAAGATAATTTATTTTATCAGATGCTAGAGCTGCCTAAGGTAACACAGATTGAAATTAGATTCTATGCTTTATTTACATGAAGCAGTAGAGGACTGGTGGTCTCTCACTGTTTTGATAGCCTCTGAGTTATTCTGCTTCTAATTCAAGTACAAGCAACGGCATGTTCAATATGTACTTTGAAACAGAATGGAACAAACCACACATGCAAATAGCCTGAACATAACAGAAGTACTCCCTCTTCGTCTCAAACTCCAGCAGTTCTGCCTTCAGTGTCCTAACATCAGGCTCTCTGTAAGGCATAGGACCAATACAGGACCCCATCCATGGAGGCACACAAGGCCACGTTGGATGGGGCCCTGGGAAGCCTGATGTGGTGGGTGGTAGCCCTGCCCATGGCAGGGAGTTGGAACTATGTGGGCTTTAAGGTTCCTTCCAACCCAAGCCATGCTATGGTTCTGTGAGTCTATGAAAGTTTGGACTACATAACACTACACCAAAGCATTTGTAAACAGGAAAATGCTATCAAATGGGATGTTCCAGCTTATAAATTAACAACAATGGAAATAAACATTTCAAAATTTACAGGTGGTAACAGACCAGCACAGTAATGAAAAATGAGGATAGGATATAAAGGCTTTGAATCACTGCATGTTGAGGCCATTCAAAAAGAACAAGAATGCAAAACATACTCTCCACCACTGGAGATGCCAGAAGAGAACCAAAGTGGCAGTCAGAAAGCAAACAGATTTCAGGAGCTCAGCCTGGTTGATCAGCCTTGAGGGTGATCTGCCTACAGAATGCACAGAGCCTTGCAGAGAAAGAATAGTGACTGCTAAGGACCTGCTAACCCTGCAGAGACAAGCGTTTGGTGATTTCATGTAAAACACAGGCAACCTACGATTCGAAAGCAGGCAATTATAGAGTGACCATTCCTTGAGGAAAACAACTGTGGACAACGGCAGATTATTTCAGTCTCGGTTTTCAGATTAAGGCTGGCCCCTCTGTGGCAGAGAGCTTTTTGTGAAGCACAAGTCATTGGGCTTTTTTAAAATCTTTTTTTCATCCTAGGAAATTCACTTCATATCTTGCAAGCTGAGTGCAATCACTGACCTACCCTCTGGGCTCCTACGACACTTAAAATATTTAAGAGGTATATGAGCTCAGGTACTGAAATGATGTAAATGAAGAAAGCACCAGGCATTTGGAAAAGTTCACTGTAGTACTAATTACAGGGACATACTAATTACTATCTTTCAGATGTTAAAGAGCAGCTCTGCACTCTGAAAAGGAGAATTCCTCTGGACAGGTAGCTCAGGTCACAGTGGATGCATAAATTGTCCCATAAATGGGTTATACTTTTTCTGATGTTTAAGTATGTTCCTTATTGAATTTCAAAAGTAATTTGGGATAGTGTAGATCTTCATAAACATGACAGCTGAAGCACAAATGTATCTCCAGCCTTCTGCAAATCCAGCAACCAGAGAGCCATAGACCTTTATTTCAGAATTAACCCATCACCTGATGGGGGAAAAAGGATCCCGTGCTCCATCTCTGTAGTGGGTAGGAGCCACGAGTAAGATAAAATAAAGGACAATTCCATCTAAGAACACTGCATTCTCTTTTATTTCAGAGAATTAATATTTTAATATTCATAATATTTAATGAATGGCATCATCACAGTACATTCCCTTTCCTGATCGCTTTCTATAAGAAATACGTTAAGGAGAGCCGTGTAGAAAATGTATTTATTTACCTGAATTGGATTTTAAAGAAAGTCAAAATACATTTAGCCCATGCTTAACAATATCTATTTGGTAAGATATATGGCAACAAAATTAAAGATCAATCAATCATGTGACACACAGTCTTTCATTATGGGCAGAAAGACAACTCTCACGTTTGCCAACAACTTCATTTATTTCTCTGAATCTGCTGTCAATCTTCCTTACTCTCTCCTATGTTCCATTTTTCCCTCATCAAAATAGAATTTGATGCAGAGATCAGACACTGGCAGGATGCATGCACTCTGTGTATTTCAGTAAACAAAGAGCTTGATGATATCCCTTAACAAATCCTTGCCTTCCTATTATCTTCCTATGCTATTCCTCGCAGAACCTGCCCAGACATAGGCTGAAGCAAGAAATCTTCCCCTGGGCAGCATGTAGCATCTCTCTTTTGCCTTGTGAGGAAGTAGAAATGCATTGCAGTGACAAACAGAATGCTTTAGGATAGGGGACGCCTGATCACAAAGACATATGAAGGAGCACAGGGCCTGACCTGGCCTCCTCCAGCATCCAACCAGACATGATTCACAGACCAAACTTGGAAATGTGAAAGAAAAAGTAAGGCTACAGGTGTGGCAATGCACAGCTAACAGCAGCAGTGCGAGCAGCAGATGGCGTCAAAACCAGCTCCAGCTGTTCAGGCAATGCAGCCAGGGATGCAAAGTGCCAATCTGGGTGAAGGAACTGTGCGTGAGCACTGCTGAACAACCGCGACATTGAAA